ACCGTTGCCTCAAAGGAATATCACCCATGAACAATGTGACGAGTGGTGCAAAACTTGCTTAGGTGTTTCTAGAAAATATTTTTATCTTTAAATAAAAAAAACTAATATGTAGGAATGTCCTCAAGGTGCTCGAGGAGAATGTCACGTTTCGTTCCGAAAAATAGGTCAAATGGAATAAGTCTTAATCTACGCTCGTATCAAAGTTCGATTCACCTGTGATTACCTTGGCAATAAACCACCACTCCTAGTCACATCATCCCCGTCTGGATACGTACACCATGTATAGACTCCTCTCGATTATCGTCCCGAACCCAGGTTCGCGCCGGGACAATAATCTTTTAAGGAGAAATGCTTCAGACCCTCGTAAATTCGTTTTGTGCCGGAAACCCGAGCCTTGACAACAAAAGTGGAGGGGCAACAAAGTATGCCACATGGGGGTAATGCCTGGACAATAATCGTGTAAAACAAGCCAGCCGATAATCGAGAGGAGTCTGTATTTTCAATAGTTAATATTCAATCCACCGGCGATTTTCGTGATTTTTTCGTGTTTTTTTTCCTATCTTATGCGCTACGTTCCATCCACGGTCTTTCATCCCCCCTCCTTCTTCCTCGATCCTCGGTGATCACAGGTCGTCCGTAGAATGCTTAACGCGATATCGATAATACAATAGGTAATACGATCTATGATTTATCATTCTCTCATAATCTTCATCTCGGTCCAGGATAGCCGAGGAACAGCGCGAAGAGAATGGAAAAAGAGGAGGAGAGTGAGTAACTGAGAGAGAGATAAAGGGAGAGAGGAACTGGTTGATTTAATTGAATTAACCTTGGGAGTCCTATGACCGGGTCATCGTTGACCCGTCAGTAACTACAATTGTCGAACTTTATATACGAAAACGAAATGAATATTTCGAGATGGTATGGGTCACGATTGACCCAGCCGTAGTCTTTCACGGTCCGTACTCCTAGGGTTAATAAATCGATGACCAATCGTGAAGAACGATCGACAAACACGTTCGATGATCGATTCTAGATCAGACCAGTCCGCCTTCTCCCGTCAATCATCATCATCATCATCATCGTTACCATCATCATCATTAGCATTATCCTTTCGTCGTCAGTAAATTCGTGTTACACGGTTGCTGTTTACGTTTATTTCGTTTCGTTTTTATGCAGTCAAATATCGCACGTCGAGAATAGGCCTCGATCGTTTTATAATAATGTTCTGTGTTATGTATAATATGTGTACTTGTACGCCCCGCTAATGGTTGTTACTATAACAATACACGTCTATATACAGTTTACCAGGAGCAACAGCGTTATTAGTCGTTATTAAGATTAATTAATTATGAGTTTTTTTGTTATTTCAGGCCGATCCACGCTTCACATCGGTACCTCTCTCCGGTATTGGATCTGTAGTAAGTTGAGTCGAGAACGCAGGTGCACGAAGGGTTGCTGCTTCTAAGGCGTTACATGATTCTTTTGATTTGTTCGTCGTTCCTAATCTTCTTAGTCCGTTCATTAATGTGTATATTACGCGTGAAATTATGAAATAAAAATATATACATAGAGTGACATACAGTAATCTTTGTGAATAATTCCAATGAGTTAAACTGAATGACAATTTTCACTGACGTATCTAGGTACTTTTCTGAACCTCGAGATTCAAATCATTTTCGACTAAAACGTTGAATGTTCGAAATTTTCCTGTTCGCAGGTGGAGAAATTAGAAACGAAGAATGCCGTCCTCGTTGCAGATCGAGAAACAACGATAAAATAACATTTTCACCGCTTCGTGACGTGCTTGGAACCGTGGTCGCGTGACTTTTTAATGGCTGTACCGAGAGTGTCTAAGAAAAAACGATTTTAACTTTTCATAAAATGTAAATTGTTCCTCCTCGTTTAGGCCCCGGTATATTAAAAAGTTTGACGTCTTATAAACCATCCTCGAACGGCGATTCTTTTCGCGAAGAATGGAAGTTCGAAGTATCGGCTGGGCTCGATGCATACTTTCGCTTGAAATACCCTTTCGACGATCTCTGAGAAACGAATAAAAAATACTGTACATTACTTTAGATCGAGTATTCGACATCGAACGAATAAAACACGACGACTAAAAACAGCCACGCGACACGCAAGAGAAATACCGTGTATATTAGCCTTAATAAAATCCTCCGTCGTGGAGCGCCAAATCGGTTTATTCCCCGATTAATTCCGCGATTAACGGGAGGTCTCCGTTACAAATTAAGCCGTTTTACCGTTAAGTTATTGCACATTGAACAAACGATTATCGATGAACACCCTCGAGAATGCATGTTACACAATGTCTCTATGCTGCTCTCTGTTCGTTTATCGTCGGTCAAGAGAATCGGTTATTATAATATCTATTATTTCACTCGAATACTTCTCACCGTTCCATTTCTTTGTAATATGTATACATACATGTATATATAACTCGTGCTCTCTCTTCATATATATATATAATACATATATATATATATATATATACTCATTTATTTACGGTTTGGGGTTGAGCGAGATAAAGAATCGTTCGAGCGAGCCGGCACGTTCATCGTCCGGTGTAAACTAATAATTGAACAGGATAACCCCTAATTCGTGCAGTGGTAAGATCAGACGTGTCTGCGATCTCCGAACACTCGATTCGTCACCTCTTAAACTCACCTTTTCGTTACACGGAATAATCGATTATTCTCTTTTTTTCTCCCCCGAAATCGTATCTAACTGTATGATTTCTCGATTCCATCCGCAAAACTTCAATCATTCGTCGTTCTAACTATTCGATTCGTGCCTCGAGGATTAAACTGTACAAATCATATTCGGTGACGAAATAAAACTTTGTAATTGCATCTGATATACAATAATCGTTCGCGTACACAAACATTTCATCCGACAGGCCTCGACGATTTACTAATTTTTACTAATCGATGCGCACGAGGATTTATTCGATCGACAACCAGCCCAGTTACATGTTCGTATCCCTGAACGAAAGAGAACAGTTTCATCGGTTTGGGGACCATCGTCTGTCGTCGTTCAGACACGTCTGATGCTCGTCATTGCAAAGTGTCCAAAGGCGTTCGATATAATCTCCGGTGGTGCACACAGGTTGCAGAATTCGACACACACACACCACCTGGGGATCAGGTAAACACCGCGTTCGGAACCAGAGAAACTGAACCATAGACCCACACACACATACACACACGCACACACCTAAGCTTCGTAACCGTAATTTCGACGTAATCAGATCTTCGATACCCTAATGATCCTTAAGTTTATACTTCCGAGCTTGTGGACTATATTGCGCCACGGAAAAGAAACCACGAGCTATAAATGATTGTTATATAGCCGTTTCCCCTCCCCAATCGGAAAGATTACCGTCGCGATTTACCTATATTGTCAGGAGATATGATCATCCATTAGTAGAATACTTTTTATAGTCGTTAAGTCGTCGCGTCCGATTTACAATACTCAACATCGATAGGCGTTTCGTTAAGTTTCGCAATGTATCAATCGAATATACATCATGTATATATATATATATTTTTTTTCATATATAATATATATATATATATGTATTTGTGTGTGTGTATGTATATATATATATTATAGTATATTACGGAACTCTCCTATGTTAAACAACATTTTTGTCCTTCTCGTTGGGATAATTCAATTCCTTACGATAATAATTATACAACCGCCTAGTCTCGTTTTTTTCTTTGTTCGTTCTTCTTCGTGATATACGTACGATCATTACGAGGTTCACCATAGCGGAACATCGATATCAATTTAATATACTTTTTATAAGGCCCAAATATTGTGCGCTACCTGTCTCGATGAAAATTACGCCAGAAAAAGGAATTGCGGGAAAGCGTTTAGGTGTTCATGCTCGGACACACACACACACACACACACACACACACACACACAATTCGCTGTATTTTTTTCCCCTCTCTCGGCTCAGTTTCTCCGGTCTTGAATACATGTCCTGCTCCGCTGTGCCTATCTATCGCTGCGTATTAACTTTACGAATCATCGAAAGGCCCCCACCTGATGGAAGGCTTCTCTTGTTCACGACGTTCGATGACCAATCCACGCTGCTAACAAAGTTTCCCCCCTTTCCGTCCGTTAGGGGCGGACGAACACGTGAAACACGTCGAGAAAGTCCGATCGCACGAAGACGGAAGAAACTGTGTCGGTGACTGGCTTGGCAGGCCCGTTTTTTTTTTTTGGCACCTAATTTTTCGCTGTAACAGTGATTCCCCATTTCATGGCGAGCGCGCGAACACGCCAGAGCAGCCTAGCCGTGGATGCTTCGCGAGAAATGGCGTAGGATCCTCCTCCTCCGCGAATCTCTCCCTCGAGAGAGAGAGACGTGAACGATGATTATATCGCTGAACACGCACCGTTCGTTCCAAGAAAGCCTTCGACGACTCTAAAAACGGACTAGAAGTTTAGGCTCGAATAGAACACCGACCATCACGGTCCCTCCGAACCATTTACACCTGCGGATGATCCCCTGTCGGCCACACACCACTGGTCAGCTCGCGTACCCAAATCGATGACCCCCTAAAAGTGTTTCTCTCTCTCCTGTCACGGTGCCGGATAATCCCATGGAAGTTGGAGCAGCATCAAGGAGATCGTAATATCGCGACGGCACCCTAGATACAACGTCCCTCCTGTGGTAAGTGAAGACGGTGTCCTTCCATCCTCTTGCCCACGATAGTAGAGCCCAGGGTGTCTTCTTCTCCTTGGAGGATCTAGGTCTCCATCCCCTTTACTTTCTGCACTCGAAGCGTCGCATCTCCACGACCATTCTCGAACGATAACATCTCGGAACGAAAAAACACACCCAGAACGCTTCTCCCCGCTCGCTGCTAACGTATAATTCGGCTACCCCCGTGTATCATCTACACACACCCCTGGAATGCCTTGCCAATGCTGATTTCTGTCTGTTCTAGCTGTGGACAGCGTTGCCTGGCTCAAGTGGCGCTGTCCCGCGCCACGGACTCGGCGTTGTCGCTCCTCCTCCGACGGCTGGTCGACGACTGACGGTGATCGACGGGATGATCGTCGTTGGCGGTCGTGCTCGTTGATACAGTGTCGTCCAGCTCGGTCCCAGATGGCACCAGGATTGCGACTGATGGCGAGGAGGACGGTGAAGTGGGCGACGCGTTGTTTCGATGATTCGCGAGGCTACCGTTGGTTTTGCCGCGTTGACGACGCGACAACACCTCGGGCTTGGCTTCGTGCTTGATCGGTATCTTGGTCGTCGTCGTCGACGTCGACGTTTGCGATGTGGACGCGGGGCGCTGAGATATCGACGACGTCGTCGTTGTCGATGCTCCAACGGGGACCATCTGGTACCTGGTTGTGGCCGTGATCGGTTGCTGTTGCCCACGCGACCGTCGATCGTCCCTCGGTTGCTGAGACTTCGGTTGGATCCCGTTCTGCACGGTTCGATGAACCGTTCTGGCCAGTATAGAACCACCGGGGCTGACAGATGAGGAAGAAGAGGTGGCGGGTGACAACAGAACGTGGCCGGCTCGCGGGCCACCGGGGGAACCGGTAACCGCTGATACAGCTGCTTCCGGTGAACCGTCTGCCATCGGTGACCCCGCAGGGCCCGGTAGACCCCGTACGACAGGCTCAGGAACAACGACTGGAGTACGTTGCTGCTCGTTGCCGCCCAGATCGCCAGCGCAGCCGTAATCGTAGCTACAGCATAGCTGCCCGTCCTACGGAGAGGTGCGTTGGACACTGGGTTAGGTCAGCCGCGGAACTGGAACGCGACTCTCGGGGGTCAATTCGCGTTCGTCCTTTTTTCATTCGTGCTCCCCGCGACAGCGAAAAGTCTTGGTCCCCTTTAAGATAGCCTCCGTGTTTTGATTCTACCCGTGCGATATATGTGTGGATTTGTAACGAGAAACTAACGTGTGTCCACAAGTGGAGCGGTGTACGTTTTTTTTTTAAGGGGGGGGGTGGGTAGAGAATTAAAAATTCAGATTATTCTCGTGAATTGTGATCCGAATGCCTAAGGTGAACAGGTAAAAGCGTGACGTGTATACATATCGCACGATTGACGCGAGTTTCGCGATGGACAGGAAGCGGTGCCATCTACGGTTGTCACAGTGATCCGCCATTTTGGATCCCCGAAGTGTCGCGACGGTCCAAGACTTTTCGCATCGCGCGGAAGGGAACACTAGGTAATCCTCCACATAATATGCAATTCATTGTTTCGTTGGCCGGCCAGGTAATTATCCCACTGTGGAGGAATCGACGTGAATTATCCAAGACTGACGTACACAGAGATCCTTTCGTGATGCCAGCCCTCCCGGTCCGATACGGCATTCTACAATATCTCGGATCGTCATCGTGTGAAGAGATACTTTTTGGGTTTCACGATCACAAAGTTACAGTAAATTCTTAAACGACAATCATGCTTACAGTTTTAGGGGCGGGGTGGGAGGACAAAACAATGAATTTCCATAGTATGTATCTGACACCCGACGAAAACGTGTCTAGGCTTTCACTACTTGGTCGCAACGATTCTGGCAAAAGATCAAGAATGAGACCAGATGTAATCCTTTGCATTCCGAGACTCTTTCATTCTGTATGACTAGTGATTAAGATTGAGTAAGAACTGAATAATTTCTGTTTTCCCAATGAAAATTTGTAAGTGGTTGTATTTGAAATTTTATTCGTTAGTTTAGTTTGTATTGAATCAATAAGACATTAATTGCACGGTGATTTATGTTGTCGTAGCAGCACCAGTGGAGTGCAAAGGATTAATTAACTAAATAGAGACGCGATTATAAGAAGCTAAATCTTTCGACAAATAATACAGGGTAAATCGATACTGCCCAGATCCATGGTTATTGAAACGAGAGACGAGGTGGAACCCTTTTGGTTTGCAAACTTATGTAGCAGAGTTGCTCTTTATTTTCAAAATCCCGAGACTAAAAAGGGCTGTAATTGCTTTCCAATTGAAACGAAATAGTTCGACGAAAATTTTATTGTTAATGGAAAAATTCATGTTTCTTTGATTTCTTTACATTTTACACGGGAAGAAAATGTTAAGAGAAGTTCTCTTGCCAGAATCGTTGCTGAACAACACTCGATAGATTGAGACAGAGAGATAGAGAGAGAGAGATAGAGAGGAAGAGAGATAGTAAGAGACTTTTGGTGCTTCTATCGAATTTCGTATGCAGATCAGAGGAGGGTGCAAAAGAGGCTCAAGTGTAACCAAAAAACATAATCGAAAACAATATAAATAAATAAAGAAACGAATAAAAATGCAGTCTGTGTGTTCCTTTCTTTTTGTGTGTGTGTGTCTGTCACCACGTGCGTCGTGCGCCCCCTCAACGCGATACCAAAAGTGTGACAAAACCGGCCAGCTACTTAGTGATCTATACGATTTGCGATCTATCACGCTCGACGACAGTGCGTCTCGAAATGTGTGTGAGTTTGAGTAAAAGAATTGCGTTAAGTGAGTCATTTTTTTCTTTTTAGTCGTGAAAGTGTGGGGTGAGTCGGCGCATGCGAGAGTTATTCTTTGTTAAACGTGCACCCAGCCATTTTACCACAGTGGAAGATCCATACGCTTCCTGATCGATCGATCGATGATTTGAAATTACTCTCTACCAATTTTTGTTAATATAAAGAAAAAACATAAGTTTTCGAAATCATTTAGAGTGAGTGGAAGTAGAGCTGCCATCTTGGTTTTTCTATGACTACTTGCATTTTTTCACAGTATTTCAGCCGATTTTAGTGAAATTATAGTAACAATGGCGAATTATTCGTTATCTAACTGTTGTAAATCGAAAATATCAAAGATGCTTTAGAGTTGTTTAATCATGGAGCTCACTGAACATTAAAATTTGACATGAAATTCGTCGACCCATCGATTAAGAATATCTTCGACAAGAAGTGAACGTATGAAACATGCGACGTGCTCGCGATTCACCCTTGGAATTGACAATTTCTTGATGTCATGTTAAGTAGCGGTCTATGTCACGCGTTCCTTTATAAACAATCCCATTTTATACAGATAGTTTGTTGATTTTGAAACACCAGTCGAGACTATACTAATCGTTTATCCGTTGAAAACACCATTAGCGTTTTCCCACACGAATCTTAGTCCCTTGAACCATCGCAAAGAAGCCTTAGAAACTTTCCTATTGCATCAAGCCAAACTTATCAGATGTAACTTTCAAAAAAATCCTTCCAACTAGTGACATAGACACGTCATGGACCTAACGCAGCCCAAGAGATCATCAAGAGAAAGATCGGTGACCAGAGTGCGGCGATCATACGAAGATCACTAAAAGGAGACACGCGTATCGCTATGATCTAATGTGAACGGAAAAAAGTCGAGAGATAAAAGAAAGATCGAAGCATGGTGAAACGGATCAGTACCAGTATACCAGACAGCTACCCCAAGCAGGCAGGAAGAAAAAAACGTTAAAGCACTCTCGAGCTCGAGTCACGGGCAGTAACACAATAAACAACACAGTGAAACAAAAAGACACTTAATTAAAGAGAAACAACAACAACAACAAACAAACGAAAAAGAAGAAGAGGCGGGTAGAGATTATAGGTGAGGTAGAAGTGACGTGATTACCGATGCACACAACACGCGCTATTGCTCACCAATTGGGCGCAGTACGGCACCTGCAAGGATACCCATCGTTAGGCTATCAGGTTAGTCGTGACACGGGCAATGTGGCGGGGTTAAAAACAAAATTTCATAACATGGTTAAACACGTTCATGGCATCTCGAGCATACTCTTCTGTGTTACTTTTGTTGCTCAGTACAACACCACGTCGATCCGTATTCATTGGAACCTGAACGATCGTTAAGCTCATGATTGTCTCCACTGGAGACCATTATCTATAGATGACTTTCCTTTCAATGCATCGATTTTTCATTATGATTCTGATTGAAGATTCGATTCTGATATGGACGGATCAACGTGGTTAGTAGTTATGTCACACGGTCAGTCGCTATAAGATCGGGTCTGCTTTTTTGATTAATCATCGCCAGGCAGTATGTACTGAACACGATCCATGCAGGGCCGACCCGAAGCAATGAGATGTATCATTTCGAGACTTCTTCTGTCACGGAACTATATTCAGTGAAATTTATCAACCCCATTGACTGGTCTTTTCACTTGATCAACGCGTCCGATTGGTTTGAATATTATATCGCGGCAGTGTTCGATCGTATTTCAGGACTGTTAGGATGTGTCTCGACTTCGATCAGTTTCGATTTACTTAGACTTAGAAGATTGGGATTAGACGGTAATTCATTGACTCCGTCCGAAACTACGTTCAACACCCGGTCCATAGAGCGAGCAAAAGGGGTTCAAACAAAAACGTATTACCATCGACAAATCAATTGTTACTACGACAAAATAATAATAATAATAGAATAACAATGACTCTTTATTACTACATTTACGCAATAGAGATAATGGAGATTACTCTGAATCACTGGATAAAGACATGCAGAATAATAATGTAATAATTATATACGTGGGTCGAATTCGGGTTTATATCCCCCCTCCCCGTCTTTCTGATTGTTAGCAAATAGACCTAGTGTGGGTTAATGAACACTGCCGCGTGCAAGGCAGCCAACGAAAAGAATTGTACACATAATCTAATTCAAGGCTAGCTTAGGGACGCCCCTGAACGTGTCTCGAACGCTGGTGTTGCCAAAAATAGAGAGAGAGAAAGAGAGAGAGAGAGAGAGAGAGAGAGAGAGAGAGAGAGAGAGAGATCATTGGAATAATTTACAAGTGGTGAATACAGCTTAAGGTCGCAATAATGACAAGACTAGCACGACGCAACGGTAGCTAACGCCAAGAGAACATACATCCCTGAATAATTAGCTCGTAGCCTCGTGGAATGAAGACATGGAGGTATTTATTTATGGCCTGATATTTATGATTTGAGTAACTTTCAAGTGAGATATGGCCAGTTACGTTCTTTAATCAGCCTTGAATCAGACAAATGGCCATAACTTGCTCTCTCTACAGTCTGGTTCGATACTAATAATTAGGTACAGTAAATCGTCGATGAGTGTTCTTCTGTGGATCCAGTCAAGCGCCCACTTCTGAGGATAACGTTTGAACACTGAGTGCCGCGGAATCTTCGAACACTCATCGATGATTTCCTTCATAGAGATTCATGGAGTTTCTCTCAGCGTGTTCAGAGATCAAGATTTTAGCGCATAGCTTTTGCAGAGTTGACTCGCGTTGTACACACCGCAAAAATAAATGGCATACTAGAAAGAAAGTACAGTCAGTGATCTAGGTACCTTGTATTATACGAGGGTTACCTACTGACATGGCAAATAAATAAGAGTGATGAAAAGAAATAGAGAGAGATAGAGAAAGAGAGAGAGAGAGAAGAGAAACAAAACGGTATATATATGCTAGTGTGTGTGAGACTTCGTTTATACACGTGGCGGATAATGTAGTTTCCAATGTTTTTTGTAATAATCCTGTAATGTCTATAATTCAACCGATTCGTTTTGATCTCCGTGTATATTCGAATAAACAATATCAAGTATTTTCTCGTGAGTAACTTACGTATAATTAATTCTCCTATTAATTCTCCTAAAATATTAAAAATATTTTTAATCTTCTAATGTAGCCAATAAGGAATAGAAATAAAGTAGGTTGTTAATCCACCACGTGTACACCGTGTACATTATAAATATTTTTTTTTCTGGATGGGCGACGCCTGCCGCACAGTGACTGGTCGAATCACGGCGTAATTAATTAATAAACGCGACTGATTAGACACACGACAGATCCACGTCTAACTTAAGGCGACACATTTACGTTTCGTTTACTGACCTTGAGCTCTTGATCTCGCGCGAAAAGAGAGTGAGCGGGTCGAGGAAAACTGGTTGGTCCAGACGTGCTTCGAAATCGTCATGGAATAGAAGCTATTAAGGGGAAGGAACGGCTGTGGGTAAGCTGTTAGATAATTTACGCGACACCTAGCCGAAAGCATGGTTAGGGGTATGGTGTATTGCTCTGATACTGGTAGCTACCGTACAAGAACTGTCATGGGCGCAAGTGATTTGGTTCACAGATCTTCATTGCTACTTCGTTCGAAGAAATTTCGGTCTACAAAGGTAACTTGGAAATTTATAAGTACGAGCATACGGTACATGAAATGACTAGAAAAAAGGAAATTGATCCAGACCATCCGATTTTCCTCAGTCACTCGCCTCTCTTCTCCCACGAGCCCCCCTATCCTATCCTGCGGGCCTTGTATCGGGCCAAAGGACCGACGATATCCTCGGTCCTTCGTTGCATTCTTGGCCGGACGTCTTCCTTACCTTGCACTCGCACGTGGTGCACTTGTCATGGGGGTCCTGCCAGGAGCTGCCGCTGTCGTGGATGATCCCTGAGTAGCTGCAGGGCCTGGGCCGTGTCAGGACCGAGAGGGAGGTACCGTTTCCGGGCAGTTCCCTCGCACATGGATCGTCCTCGCAACGTGGACAACAGTCGCCGTCCTCCGTCACAGGATTCGAACAGGTCACGGGTGGACATTCCATTTGCCAACAGTCTATTTCGCCGTACTGCAAAAACAATCAGAGGATCATGCCCGTCTTTACACCTACGGTATCAGAGTTTTCGAAGTTGCATTGGACCATTCGACTTTGCCTACGAAGAATGTCTATAAACAGGTGTAAGGTAGCGGGGGTCTCACGGCTGTGGTTTTGTATTATTACCAGGCATTCGCAGGTCTGGCATTGGTATATCCATCGTTCGCCGCTTCTGAAGACTAGGTGATGAAGTTCTTGGTGCCTGCAGGAGGCCGCGGGATCGCACTGAGGACAGCACTTGTCCCTACGGCTTCCTGGGGCGCTGCAGTCGCAGACGGGATCCCGGCAGGTGATCACCCCGTCTTTACAGGTGCATCTTCTGCATGGGATACCAGCTGGCGCTAGTGTCTCGCCGTTCTCCACTTCTCTGCCCTCGAACCAGCAACCTGGACGAATCGATGAAGACAGTTTAGAGTTATAGAATGCTTGAGATTTTTCGATAGCTTGATCCATTTAAGGTGAACCGAGACAAAAATGTAATTCAACACGTACTGAGTCTACATTCCTCCACGGTGTGATTGTCCTCCTGAGGCGGACAAACACACTCGTATCCACCGTCGGTGTTGACGCATTTCGCGCTCGGATGACAGGTGTGCCTCCTCTCGATCGTTTGATCGTTACACTCGTCGATGTCCAGGCACTGGGTACCTTGTGTGCTGTCGTGAAGGGCGCTCCTGTAGCCGGGTTTACAACGGCAGTAGTACCAACCAGGCATGTTGAAGCAGGTCGAGGACTGATGGCATCTGTGAAGATCGCTCGCGCACTCGTCTAGATCGAGCTCGCAGCTGTTCCCGATGTAACCGCGTCGACAGGAACACTTTCCAGGCGCCACGCATTCGCCGCCGTTCTGGCAGGTCTGGTTGCAGACAGCTGAACCAACAGAAGACAGAAGATCGGTTAGGACGAAGAAAAAGTAGTACGAACCTGGAGAGAGCTAGATCCTTGGAGGTTTGGAGGTTTCTGGATAGGAGATCATACCGATGAGGTGTAAAATTGAATACTGTACGTTTGCAGGTGTATCCATCGCCGGCATAGCCGTCCTTGCACACGCAGTAGTAGCTACCCGCGGTGTTAACGCAAGTGGCGTGTTCGTCACACGCGTGATGGCCAGTGGCGCATTCGTCGAGTTCGGCGCAGTTGAATTTGTCGACTCTGTGGTAGCCCGGAAGACACTCGCACGTGTAAGAGCCGATCACGTTGACGCACTTCGTGTTGGCGTTGCAGTGGTGGCCCTCCGAGCCGCCTTGCTGTTTGCACTCGTCTACGTCTGTGGTGCCAAACAAATACACAGATTAGACCGGTTTCTTGTGATTCGTGGGAATTACATATAGTGGAATTACGGAGACAGAGGACTGAATCGTTAACAATCCCAGAACAGGCAATTCCCCGTGTTGTCACACAAGATTCCGTATGACAAATCATCCGACAGCACTGGTCAACGACGTGACATCGAAGAACTGTATGTGTGTATGTGTGTAGAGTCTAGTTCTTCATTTGTTAACACATCGTTCTTTAAATATTTCACGCGGGTTTCGGATCGATCGGAGAGATTGCACGTGGCCGAGGAAGAATTTCCCATCGACCCGTCGACGAAGCTTGGCGCTCCCAAGCAGGAGAATGAAGGTTAATGGCGAGTAAGTTAGGAAAGCGTTAGATACCGTGACAGCTATGACCGTCTCCCTGGAAACCGATATCGCAGTGGCAGGCGTAGGTGGTCTGAAGATTCAGGCAGGATGCGTTAGCGTGACACTTGTGGCCCTTCGCGCAGTAGTCCACCCCTGGTTTAAATTGGGTTAGCCAGGCAGACGAAGAGACCGGTTAGAACATTCGATTAGTGTTATACAGTTTAGTTCGGTTAGACAGCCGCCACGCCAGGGAATTGGATTTTTCGAGCAGTTCATCAGTCTAACATGGTAATGCTTATCAGTGCAAGATTCTCCCAAGCAAGTGATTTCGATAAGTTACAAGAATACTCCGATTTCCTGGCGCAGCCATGCATCGCTTTTTGTACAATTTTTTTTACAGCAACGAGACAAACCCCCGACAATAAGTTCCTGATTATCGGTCGGGGCAAGCTTGGTTAATAAATCGACACAAGGTCCATGCGAGACATCGTAATGTTATTTTGTTAAAGGTAATGAATGATCAGGACTTCACGATGACGGTTATATCGTTCGAAGACTCTTCGACCGAAGTCTCGTATTGTTACACAATCTTATAGCTTCCTGTAGACACGGCAGGCTCTATGAACGGTGGCCTGCGTATAAACGTACCTGGACAGAATTTGCAACATTCCTCAGCGACGCTTATTTGTTCGCTAGGCGGACATGGGAGCGGCGGGCATCTGGTCTCCGTGTCGAACCTCTGACAGGTGAAGCTCCCGTCGAAACAGTCACACTCGACGCACTGTTTCGGCGAGACTTTCTCACCGTGATCGTAGATCACACCGTGCAGGTAACATTGCTCTGGGAACAAACGCGTCGTGACGATCAGAACTGGAGGATCTTAAGACTCTAGAGAAGAGGGGAGGGTGTTTCCAGGTTATATAGCTCACTACGATACGCGGATTGTCGCGAACTCACTCAAGCAAATCGGGCAGCATTGTCCCTGAGGAATGACTGGATGCTTGCAGGTGACAGGCGCGCAGGGTGTCGGCCTGCACTCGATCTCACCGTGGACGCAGGAACACTGCTGGCAGCCCTTCTCCCACGTCGCGCCGTCCTCGTGGACGGTGCCGTTCACCCTGCACGACTTTTGGCACTCGCACTCCTCCACTTTGCTTATTCTGCCCTCGGCAGCGGCTAGCTAAAAGGAAGGACGTCAATGAGCGGAGTTGGGGATAGATTCTATTGTATAAAAAATGAGCAGGACACACTTGGATCCATTCATGATCAAACGCAGACAAATTTATAATCGACATCCACACTCACCCTACGCGTCAGCTCGTTCAGGTTATGCATCAACTGCTCCACTGTGTTTTGTAATATAGAAAATTGACCGCAAGTGGGACAGGACGAGTCGAGCTGCGGACACTGCGAGAGGTAGCCATGGGGACCGGGTATCAGCTTCACATCCTGCAAGGCACCCTGCCGACCAAAGCATACACATATTGATTTTGTCTTACAATTCACTGACACACTTGGTCCCCCACCGTAAGATTACATTCAAAATGCAATACAGTGAATCATCCATGGGTGTTCGAAGGCTCCTCGGCACTGAGTGTTCAGACGTCATACCCACAAATCGGCGCTTGACTGGTTTCACAGGAGATCCCCCTCAGTGGGGATGACTTTTGAACACTCATCGATGATTCACTGTAAACCGTATCTCGTACCTTGAACAGAAAGTGCCTGGCATTTCTCTGGCCTACCCAGAGCTGAAGCTGCGGCAGGGTGAAATTGGTGTCGGGCGGCCCGGGCCTGAGTAACCGCCTGTACAACGGATGACAGTCGACGAGCAGCTCGACCTGCGAGCCGCTTACGCTCAGGGCGACCCTGTGCCAGGCGCCGTCGGCCAGACGGAAAGGAAACGCCTCCACGTGGACAGTACCGTCTCGGCGTGATACGTAGTGAAGTCGAAGCTCGTCCTTACGACCGCTGCTCTGCAGCTCCAAATATCTACCGATCGGACAGAAAAAAACACATTTATCGTTCGATTCTTTAAATTCTAATAAATGAATCCTTGGAAGCAGTAGCCTTCCAGTTACGTATACGTTAGCCCCCACGTTAATCGCTCTGCCCCTCCGCTTCCTTGTCCCGCCCACCGACGATCATGAGTGGTGAAAAGTAAGGGGAGGGGGACCACGGTGGGAGTGGCGTTTAACGTGACTAACAATAAGGTAAGAGTGGGCGTGTGACATTTAATTGTCCTCGGTTCGAGGGCAATTAGACTCGATTTCTGAAAAAAAAAAGACAGGTGAATGGAATGACTAGATGACGACGATTGAATCGTAAGAGAAAGGGTTGCGTGTCTGCATCGCGATTTTCATTTACAGCCCTATCATCGATCTAGTAACTTCGTAGGTGAAACGGATACGTGATGATCACTTGGACGTTCTCGTTAATAAGCGACATTGAAACTCTGTTACGCGATCATAAGTTTTCGAAAGGTCGTACCGCTTAAACTCGACAGTTTAGCCGACCAATTTTCTGGATCGACTGGAGGACCAATTGGAGAATCGAGAATCTCCCTGTCTCATGCAAATCCCATTACAACGATGAATTCGCGATTCGAGGACCCCGTTGAATTAACATTAAATTCCGCTTAAGTCGGTCCGTGATTTCTGCTCGGCGAGGCGTTGTTAATTACCTTTCTAATACCGTGGACACGTAGGCGCATGCATCCAATTTGTGCCAGCCAGGTCAAAACGACTAGACTGCACTCCTCTCACGTGCCAACAGAGGGTGCGACTACTTTCAGGTTAAGTGCTCTCTTCCACGTTCCGGGCTCAACAATTGACACAGTAACTTCCTTAAGACTGACGGCTTTTTCGACCATTTTCAGCTCCCTAGCTCCGTTAAAGCGTCTCGAATTCGTTGCCCTACCCCCCAATCGCATGCTTTGTTTGATCAACAAAGACAATGATCTCTTTCTTTGAAACAGGAAGTAACCAGGCGTGGCGATCGTGGATCTGGTTGCAATTAACATTGACTCGAACTGAACTTCGGTGCAGTTGTCGATAATCATCTGATACGAAGGAACGATCTAGCACGGATGTATTCGTGCTTGCAATAAGTAGAAACCATAGGCAATGATCAGACACGTTAAGCAGATCCTGCTTCAGAGGCAAGTGTGGCCAAGATATTTCGAAAATCACTTATCTTGAGAACAGTGGTTTAGATTTGTTTTTTTTTTACAGGAAAAATCATTTCCCGACAGGCTGATTACCACTAGTTTATCCCTACCTTCTACAAGAGTTCCAAAGGGTTCACCTGCTTACTGCAACCTTTTGGTATCTTATACAACAGCTTTTTTTTAAACTTTGGAAAGTGTGACTTAATTCACTCTTGCTCTAGGGTTCAGATATGTATGTAAACGGAAGGCAGGAAAATAATACAGGCTGGCTAAGAGAACGATCCCATATGTTATTCAGGCATCGTCAGAGTTCCAACGCGTTGTCCATTGAAATCGCTTTGAATTCCAGACCTCTGGGTCCACAGCAATGCGAATATGAGGATGGGGAAAGGGTGGTTGGAATGAAATTACACGTCGTACCTATTGTTCCCATGTGAAAAGGCGACTATCGTCCCGGAATTGGCCTCCTCCTGTCGTAGAGCGGCGGCTATAGTGAATTCCGGAACCCGCCGGAGTAGTGTGGCCGCTCGTTCGAAGCTCGCCTCGTTCAGTCGGAGCTCCCTCTCCTCGCCTGAAGTAGTAAAACTCAATCATTTCTGCGTTCCAGCCGATCCGACGCGCGCTAATACATAATTGGATCGCGGTTTAAATATTGTGCAACCCGCGTGCTTTCGCTGGAACGGATATCATAATGGTATGTATTCGATAATATTGACATAAACGACATCTGTCAATATACAGGGTGAGTCAATAAGAACTACTATACATATAAAATAATTCGTTACTTATTAATTGTATCAGAAAATATTTGAATGAATTATGTAGCATTTTAAGGGATGCATCAGAAGGATACAATTTGATTTCATTCCATCTTTTTTTTTGTAATTTCAAGGTGAACTTTGAGTTTTTTCAAGGTCCATGCATGTTGTTTCTAACGTCACGTTGTTGCCACTAGAAGAACAAATTCAACGACCTATAGCATGATGGTATTAGAAAAAATATGCATTGACCTTGGAAAAATGCAGGGTCACCTTGATATCTAAAACAAAAATAAGATCTGTACTCATCCGATGCGTTCCTTAAAATGCCATATAAATCAATAAAACGTTTTTTGATGGAACTAATAGACAATGAGTTATTTTGTCTACTAGTTCTTATTGATCCACTCTGTATTCTACAAATAAGTCGATATTACGGATCAATAATTATGTTTTGTTTTTACATTCTATCGGCGTGATATAAGCATATGTTTTTCGTTTTATGTTTTCTTGTATTCAATATTCTTATCAGTAATAATTATACAATTATTTATACAAATATATTATTTTTGTAAATAACAAGAACGTTCACAGCGTGTATCATAGATTCTAAATCTAACAGACGACAATGGATTAACGTTATCCAGAAGTTCAGGAGAAATATATATCGTTGCGACTCGGCGGCAAAAGTGTTATCCGGCGATGTAGGTCAGCCGAAAATTTTTCTGGTCGGCTCGACATCGATTTCTCCGATTCCTCCGCTCGCCGTTACGTGTAATCACGTTGACACGGAAATTCGTATGGCCGTGGGTTTTCGGAACACGCGAGAATTCGTCGATGGATCTAACGAACCGAGTCTATGATACTTTTCATCCGGAAGAAGGACGTTTCTTTACGTAAAAAATAAAAGAATCCTTATTAAAACAAAGTAATTAATCAGGGACGGTGCAATATATTTTCTTTCATCATTTTCGTATGTAAACGTTTGAATAGAATCGACAAAAACTTACACTGTTCATTCTGCAAAAGCATAAAAACATATGAAAAAATCTAGGCATTTGATTACGCGCAAACAGAACCAATAGCTATTATGTTCATAAAAACTATCTACTTCTTCGTTTTTAAAAAGTCGCCCTGCATTCTAGTAAAACGGCCCTAATATCCCATGTATTAGGGTCGTCTCATAAGAGGAGTTTGTTTCAAACAAATCGACAAAAGAATCTCCGATAGATAACCTTGGATAGCAGACGTGTCTTGAATTTGTTATGTAATTACGTTGTACAAAATTTTGTTAATAAATATTTTGTATGATGAGTAACAATTATGAATTGAAAAATAAATATGATACCAGCATATATATGGAACATAAAAACCACCCCATCCGGAGCAAAGGCAACCCCTTTCGCCACTCGACATATTGTTACACCGCCAGCTATTGATACCTCGGTTATTTGTATAATCTCTCCATTTCGATTCGCCGCGTCTATATTCGCCATGTCCAATTACGGTGCTCCTCCACCACCAGCTGCGTAAACGTTTGCACCCTCCGCGACCCCCACAACCTCCTACCACGATGCTTCCATGCGACCGTTCGGTATTACAGAAACGTGAACGGCCAGGCTGAAGGCGTGGGCGACGACGCGCGGTACAACGTCCGCAAAAAGCGAGAATGGCAACCGGTCCGGCTGGATGGCTGAGTGGGGGAATGGTCGGGCCAAGGGTGGCTGTCAGGAGGGGTTTCCCCGAAAGAAATTTCAATTACCAGGCCTCCACCCTCGCCCCTTCTTGCACCCTAGACACACAAACCACGCTCGATGGTTTCGCGGAAGTAACCGAACGTTCCTCTGTGGTTTGCAACATCGAGCCCTTAGGGTAGAGGGGAGACTTTTCGTTTCTTTTTCTCACACATACACTCCTTCCACGTCGCCACCCCTCCAGAGCCTTCTTCTCCCGTCATTCCAAGTTCTCGTGGTCTGGAATCGTTGGTATTTTGTTCCGTCGAATTGTTCTTTGGTGAACATGTGATGGCTGCTTTTATGCAAGTCCGAATCGAGATCGAGAGGTTCGACACTTCCGAGGGTATTTCTAGTGCCGTACGAAATTATGGTAAAGGGTAATTTCAATTCTATCGTGGTGGTATTCGAGGTGGTATTCCAGATCGAAATGCATGCGCGAAACTGTTAACAGCTTTTTCACCGTGGTTGTTATTCCACTGGGACGCAAGTTCACCCTCGAATAGAGTGTTTTCCCCCCGTACGACGGTTGATCGTAGAACAGCGGACCCCCGAAATTCAGTCGATTCAGTTCATATTTGGAAAGAGCTTCGCAAAGGGAACCCATTGTGATCGTCGAACAAAGGACAGGAACGATCCACGCCGACACGTGGCCGAATTTTCTCCTGAACATGGAAAACAAGATTTCGCGGGATCCCCCTATTTTGTACGCCCAGCGGGAGGGAACTAGCCCGCACACTGGTCCTAGAATTGGGTGACCCCCTTGGGGCTCCCTTCTCTCCGACTGAGGCTGATTTAATCTCGACGCTATTTATTCCCGAAACGAATAACTTTCTCTTTTGGTGCCATCTCCACAGATGCCAAACTAATGGGGGGATGTACCAATGAAACTTTTCCCTCTCTACTGAACCTTCAGGATATTCGACCGTCATACGATATACATATATACATTACAAATAAGTAGTTTGTAGAGGAACTGAAGCTATTAAAAAAATGACACTATACCAATTTTCTCATACACAAACGGTCAAAAGTGTGAGACCAGAGTTCACGATTGATTGAACACTAACTCATTACTTTATAACGATATAATAAATATTACAAAATAACGAGTTATTATTTCATCAATCATGAACTCTGGTCTCACACTTTATGGTGGTAAATAATTCTAGTGTTATGTGCCCAAATTTTTATGGAATTTCTATTTATGTATACCGATGAATTTCACACTTTCCACGCTAATGCTAAATTTTTCATAATTCTGATGTAACATTCGCAGTTCGGTACGTAATCTGGTGAAATAAATGTGACATCCTTTCGTGAACAAATTTCTGAGTCACTGTATATTCTAAGTCGAGGCGATTTCGAATCCCTGACCATTCCTCGCAGACGTTTCCCATCGCCTAGTGACCAACCACCACACGAGCCCCGTGGATGATTGATCAGACCCGTGGTGGTGGTCGACTGACCCGTTCGATGACGTTCCTCGAGTATGCACACACGAAAGGTGGCAAGTTACGGTTTTATTACCGTCACCTGGTGTCCAATTACTTTATTAAACTGCCGCGGCGCTGGTCTTGAAACTCGAGACAGGAGAACCTTGGACAAAATGGGGTCTCTCTCTCTCCTCGAGGGCCCAGCACGTGAAGCCAGCCAATCGAGGTGATGGAGTGTTGCACTTTATACAGAAGGGGGGTCGGTTTGAAGGGGTGGTTTGCAGTTGCATTCGAGCGGCAGACCCCCCGAGAAAGAGAGATCGTTTGCAGCCGCGGAATTACACGGTTCGCTGGGGGCTGATCGACGAACGAAAGAGGGAGAAGTCAAAAATTAATTTCGCTCGGGGAACAGCGTGGTTAATTGAAGGACAATGGATACGTAAAGGAAGGGGGACACGATTATGACACGTTCTACGAAACTTTATCGTCCGTATTTGAACGCCAGGTAATCGAGTATGTTTCCGCCGGGCATACACGGGGGTGTCGCGTTACCCGCGCGTCGATTACCTGTAAGCGTTCCACAGGTGATTCCACGGGAGGTTTGGAACGGAGCTGGGATCAATTCTGTTCGAGCAATAAGGTAAATGTGTGTTGGACATGGTGGTTACAAAGAGGCTGGAGTGTTGAAACATCATTACAAAATTTTTCCGTCAAATTAATATTGCTGTACAATTTAAAACAGGACCAACAGAACCTGTTAACTAAACGCATATGTTTTCAACGATTTATGATTTAAAAAACGAAATAAAGCGTGTCTGGCTATGTACGGCATTTTTCACTGTGGCAGCCGACGTGTTAAATGGTTAATCATATTGAATGATCGTTTGCCAAGTATTTGCTCGTTCGTGAAGCAATATTATTTTGTTTATAAAAAGTCGAATTTTTCTTTAATCCTTTATTCGATACTCTTTGTCTAGATAATGAATTCAGCCGTCTGTGGTTGTGACACAATTGAGACTCTTGCGAGGAAATGGAAAGGAATAAGGGTCGAAAATTAAAAATATTGCCACAACTCGATAGTAGGAACAATACCTCGAAGTACGAAGTACAACGAATCGATAGATCATATTCATCGAAAGGGTGAATGGAGAGTTTTTCGTGCGGGGTGTGGCCTCGAAAGGGCAATTCGGTGTTCAGCGTCCGGGGAATTCCCTCCGGGAGAGGTCTGCGAACGAAACGACTATGAAACTGACCTTTCGTAATATCGATTAATCGCTCGTTACGTAACCATCAGTATACCAACTGATAAGCTGGATATATTATTTTCCAGTTTATCACTCCCCTTGTTTTGGTCGACCAATAAACAGTGATTATCAAGATCGCAATTCGTTGTATTCCTCGATACAAATGCTATTTTCATTGTTGCGGAAATGTTTCGATAATACAGAAATTCGAGGAATCACAAGAATTCCAGACCCGTTCGATATTTCCAACGAAATTCTCGAGTCTAGTTTTCGGACTCGCGAAACGCGCGAAGAAGGACGTGAAGCGGGTCTGGGTGTGTGTGATTTACGAAAAGCAATAATCGGCTTTAAAATTGGCAATGATTACCAGTCGGAAGATTGCCACCAGCGTTGGAAAACGATCATCTCCCCTCCAGATATGCAAATCAGGTTCTATTCGGGTTAAGGGAGGCCCATCCGAAGTGGTTTCGACTCGGTTCCTCGTAGAGATTTACCGCATCGCGTAACACCCCGACACGTAAACCGGTTCCGTGTTCGTAAATTCCACCGAAAATAATTCATTCTCGTTCCTCCAGCTACCCCCGAAAAGATTAAGGGTGTTCGAGTACCCGAATTATTCGAGTATTTGAATTTTGAGAATTCGAATTTCAAGTCAAATAATGATCGGTCGAACGAGCCGAGTCGAGAGTTTGAATTTTTCAACCAACTGGAAATCGACGAACTGTTTGAAAACAAAATGCGAGCGACTCGAAGAACTCAAACGACTCGAATATTCGAGCGTCCGTAGGACTTCGATTTACTTGAAGGTGAATGTTCAGCTTGAAAATTTTTAAATTACTCGAATATTTATCTATTTGCTATCAAATACTAAACTAACTGTAAAAAGTAACACACTTCCACACGATTGGTCGAATCGAATACAGCTCAGCTTGTAAATTGCGTGTACTCGCATGCTCCTAGAAAAAAATATATTATCGCGAGTACCATGCTAGCATCGCGATCCTAGACAGAATATGGCTGCGAAAAATGAAATTGAACGGTATCGATAGCTGAAAGCGGCTTATAAATCGAGGGTATAAGCCCGTTCTGTCCTGTTATACCGTGTTGCGAATGTGTTTGCTCGGTTCTGAATAAAAGATAAAGCGGGTCCTTCTCACACGTGCGAGTCACGTGACCCTCGATGACCATGTTTGAACTGTGTTTAAGCTTCTGACGTTACGAACGATCCGAACGAGGCGTTCTTCGTGAATTATTTGCGATATGAGTGATAGAGTAAAATATATAATATAAAGATAAATATAACACACACGTGTATTTTTCTTGAAATTGTATCCCCCCGTTTTCTATAAAATATTAAAATTTTCATACACAAATGAGAGTATATGAGGGAATTTTAATTTAATTTAATTTAATTTTTTAATTTAATTTGATAAGAAAGTACAAAAAGAGAAAATCAAATACTGATTACAATTTTGCATGAATAACATCTGAATTGAACATGTTAATATTTCATTGAAGCATTATTCCGGATCTGTAATTAAATTTTCACTAGAAAATTCCTCAATAAACAAGATTATTCTACCAACAGATTGTCGTTATAAATATACTTTAATTAAATACAATCGAAGAATAAAAAAAATATTCTTCCGGGTCTTAATAAATTCGTCCCTGAAGAGATTAACGATATTTTAACGACATTATGTATCGAAATATCAATAACACTTCGACATTGTCGATCTTTACCGATAGTTACAACTCTAGCTTCTGGTACCGTGTAAATTATGCGAAGGATCAAGCCTTTATCCAGCGACTATTCCGGTGCACGAACTACCATGACTCACCCTGAAGATAATAAGCCGGCTTTAACCTAACCAGTCCCGGCACCTGTGTAACACCCTGCCGCGTGGTGTTGTGCAGCTGTAACGCTGCCAAGAGATCTATACCGCCTCCAGGATCGCTCCCCGTCCTGGATCTCGTGCCCAGAATACCGGTGGTGGTCTCCTCCGTGTTGCCGACAGTGGCCACCGCCGTCTCTTCCTCTTTCTTGTTTGTCGTGCCGGACACTGGAAACCGAAAACGAAAAACCGCTAGTTAAAACGCTCGCCCACGGCCCACGTGTAGGTACACAGAGCTGACGCCAATTTAGGAGATCATCCAAATTTCATGCAAAAACTATTCCACGTGTTTGCTGGCACGAAAGCTTGACAATCCAGACATTTTTTGGTCAAATATTGCGGTTGATTTTCAAACGTATGGATGTCGTTTAAACAAATTTCGTGCTGCGGATCGCCAAGAAATCGGCAAAATGTGATAAAGTAGGCATCCACTGTAACGTTTATTATTCCCATTCGCATAAATAAATTCGAAGAAGTTCGATCATTGATGATATTCGATTACCGTTCTTCTCAGCCTCTACACGTGACAGTACCAATCACGTCCATTTCCCTTTCCATCCCCCCTGAAACGAGGCAGGTCGAGTAACAGTGTCTACTCGAACAGCAATAAAGTTCAATGGCGTATTTCCACTCTCTTCGCCTCTCTCTCTCTATATATATATGTATATATCTCCCCCGTTTCCCAAGAGAAAATGCTAAGAGCAGTTCAAGGAGCATCCATCATCGACGCGCCTATCGAAGTGAATAGCAAAAGGGGGGTGCCAGGAGAGGCCAGGGGGACGGAAGAAGCGGTGATAAGGAAAGGAAGGGACGACAAGGTAGTCCTCTCGAAACCGGTTGGTGGGTGTGTATCGATCGACTCTTCACAGTCGACGGTCGTTATCGGCGCTTTCCGCGCTTTTCCTCGTTTCCGTGAAGCCTTCAACCCCTTCCTCGAACCGTGGCCCCGCCACACACACACACATATCCCCGTAAACACCACACTGCCTTATCGGATCGGTCTCTCCCGTATATAAAAATTCAATTTCGCGTCTGTCGCGGCAGTGATCGCGTAACGATGATTGAAACCATCCCCACCTGCCCACCTGCCATCCTTTTATCACGTGGAAAAAAGCTTTTCCTTTTCCAACCCCTGATCCCCACCGCTGAATATCCTGTCTGGGGATCAACGGGCTATCGCGAACGGACACAGCAGAGTTTGACCGTGCTAATAAATATGTTCGATACTTCCCTTTCTGTGCGATAGAAACCGTGGAGAAAAATATACCGCGTGGTTTGCGCGGCAGTCCTTTTGGGGGAGGAGGAATCAATTGTTCGAAGGTATCGTTTATGGAGATAGAATCAATTTCGTGTAGAGGTTGCTAGTAAATGATCAGAAGACGATTGTTTTGTAAATTGTGTTCCGTGGAAAATTCGTCCTTTTTTTCTATCGACGGGTGATGAATCGAAGGTCGATGACCGAAAACTACACTACCGTAACCGGTGTATTCGTTTCGTAATAGTTTGGTTTTTGTAGATTCAATGTCGAAAAACAATGTTCACGAAGATTAATTTTTAAATAAAGATTTAAGGGTCTGAGCGTTAAAGGGCTAATCTGCTTTAATTCTCAATTGAAACCTACGCTGTTCTCCTCGTATCTATAGGACCCGAAATGAAGATTATAGCTGAGTGGCATAACCATGAAACGACCCTAAAATTTTCCATCCCTATGTATTGTGGTTAAAATAAAAGCGAGCCAATTTTTTCTAGGGAATATAATCTATCCTTTTTTTTTTGAGAAACATTATTTCTCAACATTATTTCAGATATGGCATACTTGGTTCCTTAAGACTGTTAAAGTTTGAAATGAATTTTACTCGAAAGGATACCACCGTGACGAATAAATAACAAAAACAGCAGGGTTAAAACGATCCTTACTTCGAAGACTGGTTCTTTCCAATTTCCAATCTTATTAATTACAGAGTGAAATGCTCGGCCACTTAAATCCCGAGGAGTTCTCGACCGTTTCTGATCTAATAATCCCGGGATTACGGAGGGTCTTAATTGTCAATTAACCGCGGCTCGGATCGTTCTTATTTCTCCTGGCCATGGTTGACACTGTGGGGGCCCCGGCAAAACGTAAACAACCGTGTCTCTAAAACGGTCCCATCTCTCTTTTCTGATTGCGCAACGAGTCGTTCGGGAAAAGAGAAACCGCGGAAAGTCCATTTCTCTCGTTCCGCGAGACGGTGTAACAATCGCGGATTCTGCACGCGCGGGCTTTTGTGGACATTAATCGAGCCAAATCGGCTTGGTAGATTAATGGCGGTGCGCGGTTGCATTCACCGCTAAAAGCGGTTCGTTGTGCCAAGCGCGCATACCTGCTGCACCACCTTTGATTCATTGGCGTGGAGCTTTTATTAGACTCGGGACATTATGATATCATTACTATAACCGATACCTGACTATTTTCACACGTGGAATAAACATATTCCAATCTGAAAACCGTTTCGAGACACTAAATAAGCGTTCCTGTAATATTGAATTTTTCTTACCATTGATCTTACCTCAATTGGTATGCGAAACGTGGAGAATACAGTATATCCTCGATGAGTGTTCGAGGACTCCCCCTGAACATTAAATATTTCATGAACCAATGACCATATGCGGCTGAAATAAATGTCATTGGTTTCAGAATTTCAAGCTCTATCACGGCGCTAAACCTAATTAAATAATCAACTTGAGCCTTCGAACACTTCTCGAAGATTTCCAGCATTGGTTTTGTCGAACTATAAAGGATCGACTGACAGTCCAGCTCAAATTTTCATTATTATCGTCTGAATAATCTAAACAACAGTATCTACAAAGTATGAATTATCCTCCCGATTGTTTAATCTTTCCACAAGGAATTTCGTTTCCATGAAGATGGTGCATCGACGAAACTTTTCTCCTACGTTGACTCTCAAATGTGGCACATCTCTGATCGATTCGGCGGAAGGGTTAACGAACCGACGCAGCAATTTCCAAAAGGCGCCGCCTATGCTCGTTCTTAAGAGCACACGGACGCGTCCGAAAACGTTCGAGAGTGTGTGTGTGTTTCTTTCGTCGTCTGTGTGCGAGCGTCCCGACGTCGGACGAAACAGCATGGAATGGAACGGTGGCAGACTGCCGGGCGTCGCGACGCCCGCTATCGAACCGTACGTGGCATTATCGTTTAGTTCGAGACCAGGCGAGAAGGAGAGAGACAGAGAGAGAGAGAGAGAGAGAGAGAGAGAGAGAGAAAGAGAGAGGGTGGAGCAGGGATGGGCGAGTTTGCGAAGGAATAGCTGGATATCCAAGTAGGACGACAGTAATTTATCAGATAAAATCAGGGAAAAAATTCCTTCTGTCGACGCTTTGTTGGTCTACGAGAGTCACGAACAGTACAATTCGTTGGAGTGATATAGTTTAACGGAAGTGGATCGAAATGGTTTAATAATTAATAAGATTGGGAGTGGATAGAAATAGTTAATTATAATAAACATATTATATGATATCTCCAGTGATTCCTCGATAAATGCGACACGAACAACGACGTTATTCCAACTTCGGGGGGTCCCTCTCTGGGACCAATTAAGACAGAGTAACCAGAAGCTAAGCAGAAGCTCGGTTTCGTGCCAAAAAAAAACCAAATTTATGAGCAGCTGAAAACCTTTCCACTCCGAAGCGGACCCGACTTCGTCACACTCATGGAGACATTACTGTACATACTAAACTGATCAGGAATTGTTTTCTGATCAGGAATTGAGTTCTGACAAGGAATTGTTTTCTGATCAGGAATTGTATTCTGATCAAGAATTGGGTTCCGATCAGGAACCTGGCCCGTGACGGTACTTTTGGCCAGTAGTGTACAATACCTGGTGTTTCCAATGTTCTCTTCCAAACGAAATACAGATCGAACCACCCAGAGTACAGTAAATTCCAATCAAAAGTCCATATCGTCCAATTTACGCGACGCGAATGGAATTTCAACCCTTAAATATCAAGTAGCTAAAATACTTTCCACGTCGTTTCTAGCACTGTAGTACGTGACTCTCGACGATCGATTCGCCTCCGTTCACGAAAATCCAATCACCACGGCTAATGACGATAATCACCAAGGTCTGTCGCGTGATGTCTGCACGACGCGGAGTCGGGTGGAATCGTCGGTTCTTCCAGGAAAACCATTGGGCACCTTCGAAAGGGGAGGATTGTTATGCTTGCGCACGATTTTCACGTGTGTAATAATATCCGAACGAAAATTCGTCGTGGCCGCAACGGGGGCTGCCGACCCCCATACGAACGCCGCCGGGACTCTCGTGGAACGCGTTCCGGCATCGATCGAGGGTGTTGTGCGACCACGAGGACGGGGTTTCTCCTAGGTGGACACAGACCACACCAACGAGGCTGACCGTCGCGTGCTATCGATTCCCTGCAAGTCCCTGGCATTCGTCGAACCACGGCCGTTTTTCTTTCGTCCGACGATGCTGGTGAATGAAAAACTGTTCGCGTGCCCGATTTCGACCGTCACCCCCAACCTCCACAGTTTCGAATTGTTTCAATCGAAGAAGAATTTGAATCGGAGAAGGGTTAACCCTTTACAATATATTCCTTGGTACAATATAGTTTAAGGATCTAAAGCGTTTAAACGGACATTTCATATGTTACGATGTAATAGTTAAAGTTCATTCATTAATTTAGTTTGTATTTTAATAATTAGAACTTGCATATTGCAACGATATACATGCAAATACTGGTGTAAGTAAAAAATTTTTTTAAAATGGGGTTCCCCTCGTGTTTTACATCAATTTATATTTTAATATTATGAATGAATTTTCGAAAAAAAAATACATGACTTGCACCATTTCCATAATCACCGATATAGAGCCAGGAAAGTGCGAAGGGTTAACGAACGAAAATTAGTGAGCAAAAGGAGAATTACTACGGAAGTTGTGAGAACTACTGGTAAAGTTGAGTAATTAGGGTCGAATCGGTCTCTGAACTCCGTTTCCAACGATTTCTAACATTGTATTATGAATAGAGTAACCTGTCGTTGGGTTCGATGGAATCATTAACTGTCTGACAAATGAAATTTTGTTTGACTTTCCCCATGTATGTTCGATGAGGTTCCCAGTAATAATTCAGGGTATAGTTATGCATTATTCGGCTGG